ATATATATATAAAGAGTTAGGTTCAAATGTAAAAGCTTAATTATTGTGTGAATGTATGGTTAATTTTAGACCAATCATTTTGATAGCGCTATAATAGTAATTTTGTTATAATTAATTATGTAAAAAATTAAATCAATTTATTACCTTTAAAATAGACATATCGGTTTCATCCTAATATAAACATAAGACAATCGTCTTAAACTCGAAGAACAGTTAACTGACCCCATTACCACGTTCAGCACCATCGAGGAAACTCTAAGCCGTTGGTGGAACCTTAAGTTGTCGGACCATCGCAGTCGGCATCCCTATCAGTCTTTATAGCCGTTATCAGATCGTTGTCGTCAATGTTCATCTTCAATTATTTTCTAAGGTATTTAATTTAATTTTTTTTTCAAGTTTGAGAAGTTATTTGTCGGGTTTTTTTTTCAAGTATGAACCGACCTTTCTTCAAGAATTATTATATTAGAATAAAGAATTTACTACTTGTTTTAGAAGTTTACAATTCTAGTTACACATTCTTGAAGAACAATGTATGTTCACCCTTTTCGTGTGGTTGTACTGTCCTTTTATATAATACTCATTCTACAAAGATTTATTCATTTTACTTAATTTTGTTTGAATTCTCAGAAGATATGAAAAATGCAAGGTAATGTGTATTCAACTTCTTTTGTCAAGAACCAATAATATAATGAAAAGTTTGTTTTTTGCTAGTTGTAGTTTTTGGTAAATCATTCTTACTGAATATTAGATGCTATTCTATTTCATTTTAGTAATCTGACTTTTATATATATTTTGTATTTCAGTTTTCCCTTTTGACAAACAAATTCTTAAAGAATGCAGTCTATACATAAAGAGGGTTGTTTGAAGCACTTCATGGGAAACAAAAATATCGCTAGTGTTGGTTGTTTGAAAATACTCATAGGTGATGAAACTCGATGAACAATGGAGAAAATTTTGTATTTTTGTTTTCCCTTTTGACAAACAAATTCTTAAAGAATGTAGTCTATATCATATATTTTAGACAAAATTACAAAAATGGTCGCTATGGTTTACTACAAGTCACAAACTTAGTCCCTATAATTTTTTTTTTGATGCAAATGGTCCTTGTGGTTTGCAAAACTTGCAAGGATGGCCTTTTTTACTAACTCCGTTAAAATACTGCCGTTAGTGCATCCCATGTGGGGGTATTTTAGTCTTTTCAAGTATAGGAGGGACTGAATTCGTTACATTTAGCAAACCAAAGGGACCATTTTTGTTATTTGCCTTAAAAAAGTCAAGAAACTAAGGGGGTAGGGTTCGACCCGAGTCATCTCGCAAACAGACAGCACCCTTTTCCACCAAGATAACAAGCAACGTGTGCTTTTATGTCTAAAACAGTAAATATAAAGTGTCGTTCTTTTTTTTTTATTAACAATTTTGTTTTTAATTGAATTTTAATTATAATTATTATTATTATTATTATTATTATTATTATTTTTATTATAATATAAATTCATTTTTATGAAAGTATAAATACAGTTTTATGTATAAATATTTAAAAAACATATTTATATCTCCATAAAAACGTTATTTTTATATATTATTATTATTATTTTTATTTAAAAACATTATTTTTGTTTATAAATTAATATTTATATATTTAAAGTTATATTAAAACGCTTCAAAATATATAAATAAGTTACTAAGGGCATACAAATGTGTGTATATATAATTATTAATTTTAAAAAATTTATATACATATTGATACGTATTTATATGTATTTATACATTTTAAAGGCGTGTAAATACATATAAACATGTTTTTAAAATGTGTGAACACATATAAATACGTTTTAAAAACATATAAACATACTAATAATTTTCTAAATTATATAAATTCATATAAAAACGTTTTTAATATGCATAAATTTGTTTCAAATGTTTAAATACATAAAAATATGTATATATGCATACATGTATTTTTTTTAATGAATAAATATGTATGCATACGTTTTTATATCTTTACGAACTAATTTATAAATCATGAAGCGTCTTTATATAATATTAAATATATAAATACAGTTTTAAAGATAGAAATATATTTTTAAAAATAAAAAGAAATCATGTTTTTAAATATATTTTTAAAAATAAAAAGAAACTCTGTTAGTAAAATGCCGTTAGGGACTGAATCTGTAAGGGCATTTTCGTCTTTTCAAGTATAAAGGGACTGGATTCATGACATTTGATAAACCACAGGGACCATTTTTGAAGTTTGTTTGAAAAACATAATTAATTGGGTTAATGCCCGGTTCTGGCGAGTACCCAGCGGGTAGCGGTTCCGAAAAAATGAGAACCGGAACCGGAACCGCTTAAGGCGGTTCCGTAACTTTAGAAACTAGAACCGGAACTGCTCAAGGCGATTCCGATTCTGGAACCGGCAGTTCCGATGCGGTTCCAGTTTCGAAAGCGGGTACCCAGTTCTGATGCTCATCCGTACATAGAACTACTAATTTTCTAATATTTTCTCACAAATACAAGGCTATTCGTAAAATATCATCCGTGATCGGCATAACGTCTTGTTACCACAAGTAGCATGGACACGTTAAATTCAATTATTTTATTGTATCATCACACACATGAAATTAAGGGGGATATAATACATCAAAGAGTAATGACAATTACAAACCATATTAATTTGGTTTCAAACATGAGGAAGAGAAACCAAAAACTTTCTTAGTAGTAGTACTTAATTACTTATAACAGACGTAATGAATTGCAAATTTATAGTCGAACCTTTTAAAGACCATGTCATACTGTACTCCCCAACCACACTTGCTACATTCACCATCTGACATAAGACCTTGAGCAAATGTGAGAGGGCCTTGTTGGCGACGATTGGTATTGAGAATGCCTCCAAACTTTATATTCACGAATTCATAAGCGCTTCTCCAATACTTGATATAGGTATGTGTCTCGCTCTGAAGTATCAACGGAGCACAAGCAGTATGTATCGACTGAACACAATCTTTACAATGATAGAAAGATTGATGAGGATTCAGATCCTCCTCACAAATTTCACAAAAGTATTCACTCTTGTGGTTCTCAATCGGGAGGTAACTTAGTTGCATGGGATGCTCGTCATACTTGTGCCTGACTCTCTCGGCTAATAACAAAGCACATTCGGGATGTATATAAATATCGCACGTGCCACAACGGAATGAAAGTTGACATGGAGTATGATGTCGGCGACACATATAACAAGAAGTATGATCATCCCTATCTTCTAAGTTAACTATTGAAAGAAGGTGATTCATGTGAGCTTTGTGTGTGATTTCTTTAGGTAAAAGCCCACATGTAACATCAACATAGTATTTGCATTGGACGCAACCATAGGCAAACCCATTGCAATGTAGATAACAAACATTGCATTTGAACACATCGAACATGCAACCAGGGATGTTTAAGTAAATGAGATGGAGGGTATGTTGTGGGTGGCCCGGGTGGTTTTCTATTATTGGGGGGAGTCGAGTGCACCACTCATGGAGAGCAAAGTTATTGCAAACCCCCTGAGTCTGAATCTCATCATCATTTTCAGTAGCACACCTGTAAAATGGCATGGTTGCCGTGATGGGTCTGATGCATCCATTGCATAGCAGTTGGGTCTTTTTCATTGGGTTATGGCACTTTAATAACCAAGAAGAGGAGGAGGTTTGCCCATTGCTCAGTGTGTGATCAACTAGAATTAGAGGGTGTTTATGACTAATGTGTGTTAGGTTTACCTTATGATGATGATCAGTTTGTTGGAAAAACAAGTGTTTTGGTAGGCTGTATGTTTCATCAGGGAATGGGAGATGAAGAAGATGAGGATGTTCAACAACTTTATAGTTTTTGCTGGTTCTGCCTGATAAATTGAAAATGAAATCACGAGTATATCTCAAATTAATAAAGCTAAATACACGTAATTAACTAATTAATTTATTCATGAAATTTGTAACATGAGTGAATGATAATGAAAAGAAAGGATTCATTAGTTACCAGAACGCAAGAAGATGGACATGAATGGCTCTCTTCTTGATGTTGCGCAATCCACATGGGTATAGTACATGCATTCATGACATTTGTAAATCCAAAGATTCTCCATAGCTCGAAAATCATGACCACATACTCTGCATCTGGGATCATGTTTAGCTTTTTGATCTTCTCTGGGGAATGCATATGAAATGGTGAGCGGATGGGTATGATAAAAAGCACCATGTGTTGTCTCTTGGATTAGCAAAGATTTTGATAGGAAAGCACAATCACTGTGTATGGTGAAGTTGGTACAAGTGGTACTACATTGATAGAACATCCCTTCATGTCTTCTCCCACAAGCACTACAGTCGCATAAAACAGGCTTTGTGATAGCACATATTAGCAAGTGTGGGTGGCATGGATGATGGATGATCCTTTTTCTTATATCCACTGCACAATTTACATCAATCCAAAATTCACATTCAAAACAAATGTAACGCAGTTCACCTAGCTTGTGCTTACTCCCACAAATACCGCATGACCAGTTATAACGAAGCATAAACATGGTAAGAGGATGTGGGTGAAATGCGCTCTCCAAACGTGATGGGAGCTCACCACAAAATTTGTGAAGTGAGAAATCACACGATGAATCTGCCATACATTTGTAGTAGTGCCTGTGGTACACATTGATTTCTTCACCACACCTGTCACATGCACCTCTAAAGCCCTCTTTTGTAATCAGATCATCACCATCATCATCTTCATCAACATCAGCATCACCATCACCATCTTCTTCTTCTTCTTCATTTTGTAATTGTAGCTTTAAATCAACGAGCTTTAATGGATGCTTGTGTTCAAGTACTTGAAGTGCCTCCATGATCAGTATATCTTTCTTTATGAATAAAGATGTTATCATATTTATATAACAAAGAAAAAGAATATATGTGGCAAATTCACGAAACGGTGTGGGCTTTTTTTTGTTCTTTTCTATGTACAATTGGTTATCTTTTGCTTTTTTGTTAATCCTTTTTCTTTTATCCAAAGAAGCAATCAGTGAAATTTGTTAAAAGTGGTTACAGTTGGAATTTAATTTTGTTTTTAGTAGTTTACACACCAAGCTTTTCTATTTGTTCCTTATAATTAATATGGAATTTCTGATTATTATAATTTTTATATCACAAAATTACATAATTTATGATGTATTTTATGAATGTTTTAAACATCAACAAAATAAAAAAATATGATATTGTATTGTGTACATTGTTTTCTCAAGATCATAATTGTAAAACAGTTTCACATTTTGTTCTTTTTTTTTTTCAGTTTCATACTCAAAGAATAAACACAATTGAAACACACAAAAATATGATTCTTTTCTTCTTTCTTTTTCTTTTCCTTTATCATTAATACCACCTCTTCAATAAATAAGGAATAAATCACATAGGAAGAGAGATATTTGATACTTCATGTGTCAAAATATAGAAATGAAGGAGTATATATATAAAAAAGTGGGTAAATCTTAAGTGCTTTATCCCATCCATCCATCTTTTTGGTTAATTCTACTTTTTTTGCTTCCTTGAAAATATTTGCAAACAATGAGCGAATTAGCAACATATAAACTGCATTACGTTGCCGTACTATATTTTAAACATTGGTAAATACAAAATATCATATTGTAATGTGTACTTTGTTTTCTATAACTCTTCACTATTCCAGATTCTATTTTATATTTTGATACCTTTTTTTAGTTTAATGCTTAAGGAATAAACCAAATCTTTTTGACCTCAAATTAAGAGAAGAACAAGCTACGAAAAGCTTCAACAACAAACTCAAAATTAAAGTCTACAAATCCGATACTTACGACCCACCACACTTTGTGATGAAGTCTTATAGTTATATTGAAACCAAGTGCCAAGTATAAGTGTTTTTTTTCTTCCAAACGCAATGTTTCTTTGGGGTTTTGCAAGTATAATAATAATGGTTCTAAAACAGAGTCAACATGGGTGCCTAGCCCTCAAAAGAAAAACGGCTCAAAAGTCAGAAGTTCATACTTCATAGTTCGTAGTATAGTTGACCAAAACACATACGTGCGTGTGTGTCTGATGTTAATCAACAACTACTACTAGCAGAATGCATTGTCCAAAAACCTAACTACACAGCTCAGTGGAATCTGAAATCTTTTTTTTTGGGGTAAATGTAGCTTTAGTTAATGTTCATATCTAGGCATCAATTTAATCTTCTTTACGTATGGATATACATACACAACAAGAAAAAGGCACCTTTAGGGACGACAAAATGCGTCAAAAAATAGTCAAGCAAGTCGCCCCTAAAGGTATTAGGGACGACATGTCGTCCCAAATGGGTCGCTGCAAATACCTCGTAGCCAATACTCAAAAGTCGTCCCCAAAGGCGTCGTCCCTAATACATGTCGTCCCTAAAGGTGGCGTCCCTAATAATATTCTGGCAACCGGCCAGACTAACAAGCTACCAAACTATCAAACAACAAAATTCACAACAAAATAAGTACCTGTGTTGGTTGCGGTGTTTGTGACTGTGACTGCCACTGGGTGGGAGCACCTGTACCCGCTACGGAAGGCTTAGGCCCGATGCCTCTCACATGTCCCCTTCTAGCACCTAACACCTTCTCAAATAAGGCTATCCAATCAATGGAGTTCGGATCACCACCGGAGTCGGCTATGTGCCGAGTTTGTAAAGCAACCTCAGCAACTAAAGCATTCTGCATTTCACGAAGATTGTCAATATACTTCAAAACAAACAAAAAAATAAAAATAAATAAATAAATAAATAAAATAAAAAAATAAAATAAAATAACAATATTCTACTTCATTTTTAAGTAATAATAACTTACATATTGTTCTTCAACTAACGAGTCAACGAATTCCCCTTGTTTATTGACATGTGCACGGTGTAATACTTCAAGTTTATTCAAATTCTGTTTAACATTAAAAAAATATGTTATACTAAAATAAACATTACAAAATATGTTATAACTAAATAAACATTTGTAACTTACATTTTTGAAAGAAGCACTATTGTAGCTGCACGTCCCTCCACGATTCTTAACTACTTGCTTCTTCCGGCATTCTTTGTTTACACTGGATCGTTTACAATGTGTATTAGTTAAGAAGTGGTCAATAGTAGCACTCCAACGCGCTGAATCCATACCCACGGGGGGTCGAGCCCTTGCTGCCTCCGCACCCTCTAGCATATCTATAAATTTACCTTTTGCAATATTTTTGCGGCCTCTATACCGCTGACATATTTGATGGTTCAGTGATGCCCATAAAACTCTAGCATCGGGATAATTTGAAATGGCTTGAAAATCAAAATATGTCTACAAAAAATAGAGAAGTTGAAAATAAATCAAAATTAAACATGTTAAATATAACTTTATAAATAATTTACCAAAAGATATGTAAACATGCCA